GCTTAACGACTGAGCCACCCAGGCACCCCTGTGACCTTGTTATTGTCTTAATTTGGTGGTTAAGTATGGTTTAAAGAGATGCATGTAGGGGCCATGATTACAAAGGGCGGACTTGTGATGATGAATTTTATTTTTCAACTCAGATGGTGTTTTTGGATGAGAGTAATATGTAAACCAGTAAATTCTGATTGAAGCAGATTCCCTCCACAATGTGAGTGGGCCTCATCCAATCAGTTGGAGCCCTGAAGAGAACACAAAAACCAACCAAGAGGGGAATTTTCCAGCAGAATGCCTTCAGACTTCATTTGTACCATCAGCTCTCTGGGTCTTGCCCCTGAGGGCTCGCACTGCAGATTTTGGAATTGTCAGCCTCCATAGTCACGTGAGCCAATTCCTTGTAATAAATCTCTATTTATATACACATCCTAACAGTTCTGATTCTCTAGAGAATACTGATTAATACAGTCAGATAAAATCCTTTTTTCATGAACCAACTATTAACATTTTTGTGAGACACTGGAGTTCCGAGAAGAATAATCAGTTAGGGAAACACCACCTCAGACCACAGCCTTCTAGAAGATCCACTGTCTCACCAATGCAGAATATCGGTAAGAAAGGAATCTGAAAAACGTGAAGAAACCTCGTGCAATTATCATCATGGGTTAGCCAGCTTCCATAGTGATGGACTCATTCACAGGACAATTTTTGTGTAACTAAGTGGCTGCTAATTCACATACCTCAAAAAGAGAAATTATAACAAATAGAAATAGGATCTCAGGAATCGAAGAAAGACCTTTTTTCCCCATTCCATTCCACATTCCTATATTCCATGATTCGCATGTCACAGTTTTTCTTGGAGCACTAATTTGTGGGAGTGGCAACCACACTCGCTATAAGGCAACAGACACTGACAGACATTCCCCTTGGGTTCCAGGTAGCTGGCGTGATCAGGCGGTGAGTACATTCTGCACTGCTATCGCTCCATGTGCTGAAAGACAACTTGCAAAAGAATTTTAAGATGTTCTCCTGACCCACTAGCAACCAATTATCTTGTCAGCAGGGCAAAACATGCACCAGTTGGGCAACAGTATTAAGATGAATGTAAAGTCTTTGCTAAAAGGCACAATAAACACATAAGGGACTCAGGGCATTTCCATGACACAGTGGCCATTAACTATTGCAATCCTGAGCAAATAACTGGTTTTTTTGCTACAGCCGGAGGAAACTGCCCTTATCTACTGAGATGGATTGTTCTAGGCACTGACATCTGAGGAATCATATAACTGCATCTGCCTAAATATTATTAATACCCAAGAAGCCTTTCCCGTGGAAGGGGGGAAGAAAAACCCATCTTTGACTTAGCAACTGTTTTTAAGTAAAAATATATCAGTTTTAGAAAGGCCTCTTTTACTTTTAATTTTAATCTTTATTAAAATTAAAATTGTCGAGTGAACCCTTATGGAGATCCCTCTTCAGGCTACACAGCTGTTATTCTCATACACAATGTCATTGTCTCACTTTACAGGTAAGACTAAAAATGTACCCACCACAAAACAATTTTAAATGTTTTAAATAAAAGGTACTAAACTTCTACAAAGTATTTTGAATGATGGTGGCATTTCAGCCGAACTAGAGAGGTATGCAAGGTACAAGGCTAATAAAACTTCAGATCACTGCCAAGGTTGGTGGTTCCAGTGGATTAAGCAGACCTGTGAGTAGATACGGTTGCAATCCTTCAAAGATAGGCTTTGCAATCTAGGGGAATGGAGTTGAGATTCAACAGCCAGCAGTGATTATGTGGGATATACCCTAGAGCTAGCATCTTTCGTGTAAGTGAAAGAAAAAGTAGATGAGAAAATGTGGCCTCAAGAAGCATTATCCCACAAAGCCGATCTGAAGAAGGGACACCTTTCAGATAAGACGGAAAGCATGGTCATACTTTCTCTAGGTCATTAGGCGTCCTATGATGCTCCTCACATCATGGAATGCCCTTGCCTCTCCAATTCCAGCCAGTGTGATTATTCGGCATTTCTAAAAGAGCACCGTGATATTATTAAGATGCCGAATCCTTTCTTACTACTTCTGGATTTCATTAACATAGCAGCAAGGTATTAAAACAGTCACTGTATATCACCATATGTGAATTTTACATTGGTGACAGTGGTCCTTGAATAGGAGTTTAAAGTATTTTTCAAGTATTTTGAGTCTCCTGCAATGGACGTAACTACATAATGAGAAATGTATCATTT